TGATTGTCTGGAGTTCATATGTCAAAGCAGCTGGAAGGATCAAAGTCATTCACTGCTTTCCATGAAAACATGCAGTACAAGCTATTAGTATGTAATTCTGGATGGATGCATTTTTAACTTTTGCAATATGGAGACTGTTCTGTTTTTTTCCCTTGTATCGTATCTGCACTGTAGAGGGTTAGAAAGAGGTAAGAATATTTGACATATACTAGTAGTAGTAAAGACGAGCACAGACAGAGCAATCAAAAATCATATTTTTGGCCACTTGTGACAAGAAGTCAGTAGGCTGAATTCTTGTCTTTAGCTGGTGAATTCCAGACTTTTGTCTTGCTCTTTGTAAAGTCTTCTTTTGGGGTCCTTTTAACAGCATCACTGGCTCAGCAGTCTGTGCTTTCTACATGGATGACATAGAGAAGGCCTTCAGTGGTAAATTTAAAGAGCAGAAGAATAGTGAGTCAGCCTGGACACCTGTTCCAGAGGAGCAAGTCCCAAAACCAAGGTGAGAGACTCATCTTTAAATAGAAACTGTCACTTTCCTAGAACATTATTTTTCTGCTTTTGACAACAGAGCTTTTGCAGCTGTTGCTGTTATTGTTCTGCACAGACATCTCTTAAAAAAAGGCAGCCACACAAGGCACCTGTTTTTTCCTCCTGCTCATCCCAAAAACAAACAGCTGCCAGTGTTTTTACATCTGCCTGTGGAACCAGATTTATGTCTAATGCTTCTTTTTTTTCTCTCTCTCTCGCTCTGCTGTTGTCGTGCAGGCCAGGCTGCTGCGCTGGCGAGGGCTCAGCCGCCGCCTACAAGTCATCCACCAATTTCCCTGACGAAACTCTGACTTTCATCAAGTCTTATCCGCTCATGGACGAGTCCGTCCCCTCCGTCAACGACCGACCCTTTTTCACCCGCACCACCAGCAGGTACAAGATTTGTTTCAATAAAAGAACAGATGGAAAAGATTATGAAAAATATTTTTGTTAAATTACTTTCAGTCACTTTCTGATGGCAGTATATGTACTTGGAATTTACTAACAAAAGGCAGTTGGCACCTGCCAGCATCTGCACAAACTTGTGGAGTGTTGAGTTTAGACTCTAATTACATTCTCCTACAGACTACAGACATGAATGTTAGGTTAACTGTTGGCTCTAAATTACCATAGATGTAGATGTGAGAGAGTGGTTGTGTGTTTATGTTAATGTGTGCTTTTACCAACAGGCGAGTTGTCCAAAGTGCTACTCCACCTCGGTTAAAACAGACCATAGGTTTAGCGTTGCAGGTCTATCGGACAGCTGAGAATTACAAAGAAATGCCTGCTATAATTATTTAAACAATAAAAACCGGTGACATTTAAAGGAGGACTTGCATAAGCTCTTTGGTTTCATTTCCTGTACTTAGTGCATCAACACCAAAAAAACCAAATGCAAAGTTATTCCTCAAGACCTCTCAAATGGTCACGTATTTTTTGGTGAACGTTGTCATTAGATCACATTTAAAATCATTACCGTGAGCGTTGCTCTTCAGAACACGGCTGCAGTTATAAAACAGACCTTTAGGAGAAAATGCCAGGATTATTTCTTTGGTACTTTAGTGGCTGTTTGCCTTCACAGCATCATGTACCTGCAGTGTTTTTCTTGCAACTGTGATTGGTATTGATGAGTGACCTCAAGTGGAACACGCTACCTTGCTTGCCATTAAAGCACATTGAATTTTTTTCAACACTGGATTTACATCAAACATGAAGGAGAGGACTTGTCTGTAGGGCTGGCCTAGCTCCACAGCCCACCTGTCAAATGAAGGACGTCATTGGTGTGCGTGCGTGCGTGCATGTTGTGATATTTGAGAATCCACTCATGCCAGATGATGATGCAGTGAATGTTAAATTGGTGAAAAGTGTCACAAGTGTTTCACGCAGTACCTCACAAACCTCAGACATGTATGTACTCACAGCGGATACATATCACTGATTCAACTTACAACCACAGGCGCAGTCTCATAGTATACAGGAGCCTTGTCCACGCCTGCTGAAGCAGAGCCAGGCTGACAGCCAGCCAGACACTGCAGTGGCTCCACACTGGGGAAACATGCACCGCTTCACATCTGGCGCCAAAAACATCACATCTGCTTCGCCTATCCCCAGAGTGATGCTAGATAAATGAAATCTAACCAGAAGCGCATCACGCGCTATTGCCGAGTCATTGCGGGGACGTAGCCGTCAAGTTCATGTGGGTAAACACACCAGCCTCTGTGGGACCATCTGGGAGGCACTGAGGGAGAAGTGACGGCACAGAAGTTGCCGCGGGTGTCCTTTTTATAAGAATCTAGAAGCGCTGCAATGCCAAAGAAATTATTAGAGGAAGTTTGTTTGTTTAAATCCTCGGGCCAGAGAATGGAAAAACAGCAGAGAAAATGAGCGAGTTAAGCCTATCCACCTCTCAGCCACCACTGGACTCAAGGTGCCCTTCAGCACAGCTTTTAATCCTCACCTGCTCCAGTGGAGCCAACAGTAGACAGCTGTGGTGATACTGGGCACCTCCCAGGTGTAACTGCGAGAAGCTGGATGAATATGAAGCAGGGTGGCACTCCAAATAAAGCAGCGTGTTGCTGGACTTTCACATAAATACAACCAGAAAATGGAAAACCGGGCCTCTGTGCAAGACTGCATAGAAAAGTGGCTTAACAACACAAAGAATGGGTCGATTGAACGGCTCTGGGTGGGCGGATAGATGGATAGATGAATTGATAGGATGAAGGCTTTAAAAGATGTAGGCGATGAAGGAAGGGGATGGTGGGTTGGTAGATGAAGTGACTGATTTTATACTGATGCTTTATACAATGAGCTTAGTACTCACCCACTGTTTGTTTTGTTTACCACTGAAACTCTACTTTCATAAAACAAAGAAGCAATAATAAGATGCTAACCAGAGCATTTGGTGTTGTTAACGCCCATTTATGCAAGCAAGTGACATGACAGCTTAAATTTAGATGATCTTCAGTGTAGATGTAAGTCGCTTTGTCTTGTTTTCTTGTTTTTTTAATGCAGGTTCAAGTTGACTCAGATTGCAGTGGATACATCTGCAGGGCCATATAAGAACTACACAGTAGTCTTCCTCGGGTCAGATAATGGCCATGTGCTGAAGATCCTGGCCAGCACTGAGGGAGCCAACGCATCTTTCAGCACCCAGCTCCTAGAGGACCTTGATGTCTATAACCCTAACAAGTGAGACAAAGTCTATTATGTGTCGTGTTGCCTCTGTATTAAACGATGCGTGTTCTTGTAATTGTCTCTTTGGTTTATTGCGCTCTCTCTTTTCATTTCTTTTGCTTTCTCTGTACTTTACTTAGCACATCTCTGTTCTTTTCCTTCTCTGTTGCTTGTTCTCCTCCTCTCCTTGTTCTGCCTTGATCTGTCCTGCCCACCCACTCTTTGGTCTATTGTAACACTTTGCATCACCCTGTACAGCTGGAGGGGATGCTTTTTTTTCCCCATGTATTCTTTTGTTTTCTTGCTGCACAGCTTGAAAAATCTATCTGCATCGAGTTTGATTCGCAGTCAGCTTTCTGTATAATTTTCAGACTGAACCAGCCGTGTACGGCGCTGATTTAAAAAATGAAACAAAATGCAAAATGCCTGATTGTGACAGTTGGTGTTTTTCCCGTGTTCCCAGGTGCAATGTGCAGGGGGAGGATAGGAGGGTCCTGGGGATTGAGTTGGACCGGGATCATCATGCGTTGTTTGTGGCGTTCTCAAGCTGCGTGATCCGTGTGCCACTGAGCCGCTGCTCTGAGTACAGCCACTGCAAAAAGTGAGTCAACTATACAGTAAAGCATTATCGCCACCAGAGTTTGGACAGAATATTATGCATATTCTGTATAAAGTTTTTGATACTGATCAGTATATTTTGTTTAAGTGAAAGGTCCCAAAACTGTGCAGTACCTCAGAAACCATGCATGGGTTTTGTGTTTTCTCGTTTTGTGCCACGAAGAAAATGACACTAACTGATCCAGGTAAATCAAGTAAAGTAAGATCAGTTTCCCTTAAAGCTGCCAGTTTAGCAAATGCATCCACTCACAATGCTTTTATAGGCTTTCGAATAGAGTACTGTACCATAAAGCAGATGTTGGACTATTATTTGCCCAATTCTTAGAGTTGGACCACTTTTTCAAAAAAGTACTATTAAGTTATTTGTGGTGTTGGCAGGTAAGTGACCATAGGAAAAAAATGAAAGGTTATTGAACCCATTAGCAATTTCGTATGCCTTCTACATTGGAAATTCTGTGTTGAGAGGTTGGACAAGCTCAAGTCGTCAGATTGCTGTCTGAGCTTCATGTTTGAGTATACGTGGTCCATTGTTTATACAGCTGTAATAAGGAGCATTTGCATGTGCGAAAGCATGCACAAATGTTAACTGGCAAACTCGACTTTGAAATACAAGCATACGAGCCCCAAATGTAGTCCTATTAAAGATATTTTTTGCAGCTGTTTTTGTTTGTTTTAGATTTTGGAGTGTGTTTATACTGTACGCTGGCAAGAAACTAGATTATCCACAGAAATCAGAAAACACATTTGCATGCAGTACAAAAGTGTGTGCGCATGTGGAAAGTCAGTAATAAGATTTCTCCACTTGCTTCGACATTGTTTTGGGGGAACAAATCGTGCTCCTTTCTTGATTTTCCCTGTATCGAGAGAGCATAACTTTTGCTTTCGCGTTTGATGTTTCAGATGTCAAACGTTCACCGGTACAAAATTACGTATACCTTTTCATCATTTTGTTCCCTTTCTTGCACATGTGTAGCCGATGTTTAAAAGGCTCGTTGCGTTTACGGCCAAGAAATCAACCGTTTTAGGAGAACAGCAGGGAAAAGCTTTAAGCCCTCCACCCGAACTTTAGAGACTGCTTTTACATGCAGTTATTATCAGAGTATTAGGTTACCGCAGAATGGCGAAAAAGAATGTAAAACACATGATGTAAGTATTTCACCTATGTTACTTTCATGTATTACTTGTAGGAAAGGTATGGTTACATCATTGGTCCACACAGATCTGCTGTTTTCATCTGCTGCGATTTTCATCTCTGTGTTTGAACAGAAGCTTCACTGAATGTTTATGCTGCATGCCGGGTCATCGTTTATCTGCCCAGGTCCTATTGCATTGAGTCAGTTTTGCTTTTATCCGTTTCTGAGTTTTCCAACATGGCCTATATTAAAAAACTTTTCTTTGTAATTTTTCAGGGGTTTACTCCAAGTTCACATTGCTTACCATTGCTCAAACACAGCCCGTTGTATTCTGTAATTTTTTAAACAGGGCAAAGTAAAAGCTTTTGTGAAGGAACACGCTTATAAGCAGAGCACAGCAACAGCTTCAAGTATCGTGCTTTGCCAAACTACATTATAGCCTCAGCTAATGTAGTTGCTCCTCAGCTTCAAGGTCTATTTTTGGTGCTGTGAGGAATGTTGGCCCCTTATAACTCCCCCCTGTT